TCGCGATCGAGTGTCATGGCATTGAGATACCAATCTGTCAGCTTACTTACAACCAGTTCCGAGCAGTTGGTGTCGAACGCGGCGTAGATCATCTCGAAATGCTAAGGTTTTCACAGCAGTCTGCTTTGAACGACTTGGCACAAGCCCATCGTCAGCTGGCTTCGTCATTTCTGTCTTTGCGAGACGTTTTCCATCATTTACCACTCAGTGTCAGCGTCAATATATCCGTGCTATACCCGTCGGCGGTGGAGGAGCGAGCATCACATATGACTTCCCTGCCGGACGTTAACACCTTTGCGGATGCTATTCTTACAGAAGTCTTTGACCACGCTCGAATTGCGCGCGACCAGAATCCTGATATCATGCGTTCTGTGGTCTTCACCTCCTACAACCCTAATATTTGCATTGCTTTGAACTGGAAGCAGCCCAACTGTGAGTCAGGCTTTCAACCCCTTGACAATTTCTCCCGAGAAATACGCTGATGTAGCTCGCCTTTCGAGACCCCGTTCTACTTTGCAATGACCTTGGTCAGATTCGGGACTTAGCCCGTGATGTCAATGCACTCCCTGATATTAACAGCAGCGGACGAGCTTCGATGTCCATTAAGGATTCTGCCCGAATAGCGCAGAGCAACAACTTCATGGGATTAATATGTCGCTCTAGTCTGCTGGTATGTATTTGTCTTGTCATATATGCTTCCCTCCCTAGCCATTTGGGTCGGCTTTTCATGCTGGGGACTAACACTCGCTGCTCCTAGAACGTTGTGCCCGCCCTGGTGGATACAGTAAAGGAACTTGGCCTCGTGTTGGTGGCAGATACTTCGGACGATGCCAGCCAATCCGACAGACTGGACGTCTCACAGACTACCGATCCTGTCGGTGTGGCTGATTGGGCATATCGCATGCCAGACGGCGTCAACGGTGTCATGAAAGCCAACGGCATCTTAAGGTTCAATGATACGATTGATATGTGAACTGGCAATCGACTCTTTGGCATCCTTGGCTGCCATTTCCATGCAACCTGGCATCCACTTATTGTCGTTTGGGACCCATTCCGGGGCAAAGATCACGGACAGCGACAGACTATGATTTCCTTGCCATCTTCATGTCTTCATGTATTCGGAGCCCCCGATCCACTTCACCTTTTGCGTGATGCGGCTTCTTATGATTTTGTACACTTTGACATTTCTTTCTATGTCTCCCTTGTTGTGGTTGTCTGCATGAGACCCATCGCCTATGGTGCCTTCCCAGTTGCACTTATGAATTGACCTTCCTTGGTGGCTAGATTCTGATGTGAATGTTGATAGCTCGATTTTTGAAGTGGGGAATCTTCTGACCCGAATGATTAAATATACCAGATAGTATACAAATATCTATCATATCATATCTAGCATGACCGAACGCTATGCAGCAGAGGAAACGACGTGATCTTGTGTATTCGCCAGTCCGACTGACGTTCACAAGAAACCGCGGGATCTTACATACCCCTCGGTCTGCCTTTGACAATATTATAGCCCCACTGTCGCAGAGTTTTGACAACTTTGGGGGTAATGGCTGCTGTCAAGGGTACTCGGATGAAGATGAGACTCTTGTGAATCGCGTAGGCAAGTGCAAGTTGAGTCCATAGACCTGAAAAGCCATGGAAATTAGTCATTGCCAAGGTCTGAATGAGTGAAGGGCTCGACATAAGGCACTTACTGGCATTTTCGCCGTTACCTTGCGCCTGTGCCGCACTCTCCTGAGAGTCCGTGTCGGTTGTCAAGCTCTTGTTCTGTTCCGAGTCTGCGTTGGCACCCTGCTTGTTCGGCCAGACAGCATCCACCGCCCCCTTGACAGACTCAAAAATGACGTGCTCATAGTATCCGATTCGCTCTACGCCCAGCAGGCGAACAGCGGCAAAACAAATCGGAAAGTCCATGGCCGACAATAGCAGATATACCCACAAGGCGGACCAGCCATACTCCTTCGAGAGGTTGCGCAACCGCTGCGACAATGAAGCGCCTGATTTTGGTGATTGCGCCGCGTGTCTTGCGCGGGACGACTGGAAGAACCGGCGAAATGTTTGTTGAGGTCGGTAAAGATTAGAAAGTATGGTGCCGCTCCTAGTACCGTGAGCCTGCTTCCATTGAGGAAAGTTCACCCGACGCTGGAGAATTGACGTGTGCGGTGCGGAGGATCTAAAGGCGCGATTGAAGGCAATAGAGTGCGTTGCAGACGGTGTTTTCGGTACAGCCAAATTTCCTCTGGCTGTGCCGCGAAGCTGAAAGAGCAAAGCTGACAGGAAAGGATGGCGTGGCTGCATTGTCAGATTAATGTAACTGGGTGCGCAGCAGGCTAGGCGTCTACAAAACAAAGAAAGCCGAATTGAAAATTGCTGGCTGATGACGTTTCGGGCGCAGACAGTGAGAAACAATCGAGGTACGTAGTTGATATTTATTCGCTACTAGAAGCAATCTATTCCGGTTTATCGGCGTGCCGGTGCATCCGGCCTCCGATGCCAGCCCAGGTGTTATCCGACTCGCCGCCAGGAATTTTGCGTGAAGAGGTTCTGTATGTATGGTAATTTGAATGTATGCCCAAGTACGTAATTTCTTCGACAAACTGGCGAGAGTTGTGTTGTGCAGTAGTTACCGGAGCATCTCTCTGCCTGGCGCCGCCGGGGGTTACACCGCCTTCACTGTGTCTCCGCAAGCCCTCCAGAAATCTCGGCTGGGAAAAAGGACGACGGCCTCCTCCATATTACGCCTTCGCGATACCATCACAAGTCCCTTCTCTCCCGCTCCTCTCGTTGGCTGGCTACGCTTCGCCATGTCGCCTCGTCTTTCCGAGCAGCTGGCTCATATTCCCTTTCGCTCCAACTGGAGCCCTCGTTCCGCCGTCCATGGCCAGGTCCCCATTCGCACTTTCGGTATCCGCTCATTGAACCCCCCGAAGGCCTCCCGCTTCGATGTCGGTCCGGGTCTACCTGTGTTGAAGTCGACTCCCACAGCGGCCTTGGAGCGCAAGGCTAATACGCTTCCCCTGCGCACTGGTGCGATCGCTATCAAGAAAGGAATGACCGGTCTGTACGACGCGACGTCCGGGAAACGTATCGCTTGCACCGTCCTCCAACTAGATAGACTCGAGGTTATATCGCACAAGACCCTGCAGAAGCATGGATACTTTGCCGTCCAGATGGGCGCTGGCTGGAGGCGGCCTGCCAACCTGACTAAATCGCTATTGGGTCACTTCTCGGCCAACGGGATCTCGCCGAAGCGCCATATATACGAATTCCGGGTGAAGGACGAGAGAGGCCTCTTGCCTGTCGGAAAACCGGTCAACGCCGGCTGGTTCAAGGTGGGCCAGTATGTTGATGCGCGATCAAACTCCAAGGGAAAGGGATTCGCCGGTGTGATGAAGAGACATGGTTTTGGAGGTCAAGATCGCAGTCACGGTGTCAGTTTGACGCACCGTTCGCTTGGTTCTGCAGGTCCCAGTCAGGGCGGTGGCTCCCGTGTTTACCCTGGCAAGAAGATGGCTGGAAATATGGGAAATGAGCAGAACACAGTGCAGAATCTCAAGATACTTCAGGTGGATCAAAAGAATGGAATTGTCGTGGTTAATGGTAAGTTACATACCAGCCGTCCCCAACAGGCCTCTCGACCTGCACTCATGTGAGTGAAGGGCGACATCAAATACTGATCATTGTGTATGTCTGTACTCTAGGTTCCATCAGTGGCCCCAAAGGTTGCGTCGTCAGGATACAGGATGCTTTGAAGAAGCCTTGGCCGAAAGTCAAGTTGGTCTCGAAATCATCTTGATAACCGATTCGAAGGCATTTTCCCTCCGCCCAACTTCAGATCTCCAATCTCCCTCACCGTTTTTCCATCCCGTGAGATGTACTATAACACCAGACTATTTTGCCTCCATAGAGCGACATTTTTATTTGACATGTAAATGATATCCATATCAGATCAGATTTCTTTCATCCACTCGACCCTGCTGCTTTTATATCGTTGCTGCCGTGCTATGAACCTCGATGTCAAAGTCTGAAAGAGTGGCGAGGGAAAGAACAAAGAAGCCCTCCAATGACCGAACGCCCTGGCATAATGCACATGGATCTCAAAATATTTACAAATACAGATTCCCAGACACCGTGCACCACATATAAAATACAATGTACGCCGTCACAATCTCAGCATTGTTTCCCTAGTTGCTTTGCCGAAACGGGTCACTATCACTGTCGAGGAGTTGCACCACTGTTCCATCTTCTGTTTCCAGGCTCCATTCTTCTGTGCAGAACTGATGTGATTGCTGGTTAGCTTAAGTTACCTTTGCCATTCGAGGGGAAGAGCCCATAGCTGGGAACGCACATAACTCATGCGGTTGGGTCTAATACTCCGGAACCTCATCTTGCCTCGCCCTTTAGTTCCCTTGACCCAAAATGAGATGTCGATGCGGCCATGTAGCTGATTCATTTCACCACTGATCCATGGAATTTTCTGGGCGAAGTAGATTTCATCCCCTAGAATCTCACGTGCTCTCGGCGAAGTCCTCAGAGCATACAGTGTACTGCTGACCACGCTTGAAGATGACTTCTGGTAGTTAAATATACCCAGCATAGCCGCGCCCACAACAACAGCGAAGAGTGGCAATGTGCGGAGCCAGCGGCTCTCGCTGTTGACAGACGGCAATTCTCGGTCTGCTCGACGCTCCATGAGAGGGCCCGAATTGGAGCGCGGGGCGGGGATCAAGCTGCGACGATGAGGAAGAGCTCGGCGGCGAGCGCCAGGCAGCTGTGGGACGCCAATGCGCCGTCTTGCAGCAGTTAACAGCATTCTCTGGAAAATAAAACTTCTTCAGAATAAACGAGCTCTTTTATTTCATCGACAGGGCTAAGGTTTGGGAGGCGTAAAGAGTTCTAAGATGACTGCGAAAGGTTGTTTGGCCTCGGGAGTTTTGGACAGCGGGCCCAAAAGTGCAAGACAAGCAAGCTTAGCAAACGAAGCAAACCAGATCTGGAAAAGAAGGGTTTACACCGTACTGGGTAGGTAAAGGTACCGTACCGAAACACTGAACCGGTTGTGTCATGTATTTTAAGCAACACATCAGAACGCTCACCGAGTCGCTGAATTACTCTGCAGCCCATTGAAAGTGTCTCGAGTCTCCCGCTCAAAACTAAGTCCCTCTGGACTCTGAGAAACGATGGCGTCTGCAAGACTTCGGCGCGCATTCCGCTATCCAGATGATTTGGAAGATGATGAGTATGCTCGCGAGGAGTTGGATGAAGAAGGTCTGTGTGATCGATTAGCCACCGAGGAAGGTTGGCTTAGAGATTGCGACGCTTGAATTTCACTAACAGGCCTGCAGAGCAAGAGCGCGTAATCCAAGCCCTCAAACTACTCAACGATAGACGAAATTCTGAATATAGTGTAATGAGGTTCCCTTTCTAAGCATGAAAAATGGAAGTATGGCGGACACCGCTAAACATCATGGCTATTCATGGTTTAGATTATCTTCGCCGCCATCCCCCTCTTGTCCGCGGCCATCTATCTTCCCCCAATGCTGTCCAGTTCATCCGCCACTATCGACCGGTGCGTAGCCCTTGTGAGTGTACTGTCTCTGTTGGCAACCGCCCACAGCATGGGGTATCTACCGCATCGACGTCGCGACAGCAAGAGCAAAAGACGCATGATGGACTCGAATGGCCTCACCCAAGCCCAGCAACTTCTTCCACTCGTCAATGCAGCGAGCTGCATACTATTAGTGCTAATCCGCTTGGAACTCCCTTCCAAAGAATCTTGGTTCAGCACCGGGCTGATTACATCCTCGGTTCCTGGAGGTTAGTATACACGCCAGATTTCCCATGTTTGAGTCAAGACTGGTGTCGCTCATTCTACTTAGCAATCTTAGCAACTGTGTGGGTCGCGCGCAGGGTCATGTTGTCCGTTGATATCAAGGATCTTGAAAATCTTCGATACAATTATAAAGGAGCCTAAAGCCTCCCTCTAAACCCATTGGTTCGAGGCCGAGGAAGGATTCCTAGCTAACCGAAGAAGAGGCAACACCTACCAGCGCATCTACTAGGCAATCATGACAGTGACGTCTGCTTGTTATTGCAACCTTCAAAAGCATAAGGATTGACTTTTTCGTTTTATCGACAAATCGGCTTGGGAAAGGAACGAACCCCGCCCGCTTGAAAGACCAATATGAGAACAAACTTGCATCCAATACATACGACATATGAAAATACTCATGTCCGCTCATAAGTTCATATCAACTAATTGCCGGACGGTGTAGATATTGCACCCTCGGGTAACAGCAATCTCTCCAGAGCAGGATCTACCGGAATGCCTTCATATTCTGTCGAAGATTCTGGAACTGTAGAGGACTCCTCTACTTGGATGCCCTGCTTAGGTGCTAGCTGACTGTGCTCTTCATCCTCATTCTGGTGATGCTGACGATGATGCTCCTTCGATCCATTGGTCTCATCTTCCGCAGCCTTCTTCAACCAGCGCAAATTCGAATGCCGGAAGTCTACAAGACTTTCCACGCTACGCGGATCCGCGATTTTCCGGGTGTCATGGCCGAGTAGCATGCATGTGGGCTCGAAAGGGCGCATCGTCGGATCTCGGCGACAGGCAGCGCAACTGCAAATTTTATTGCATTTGGGACATTTCCAATCCAGAACCTCCATTGTCTGTTGTGGAAGCATATTGAAAGCCCTATAGAGACTTCCATAACAATAGTACTTGCAACAATGTGTGCATGAGGCAAGTTTCCAGAGCGGTTCGAGATATCTGCAAATGTGACAGCGACCGACCTTCTCTGTTTGATCTCCCCGAGATATTTTTCGTCTTTTGCGTGCAGAGGCGATCTCCTCCGTGTCACTATCCTTCCCTTCCGTAGGTTCAGACTGGACGATTGGTTTGCTGATATCGACCCAAGGCCGTCTACTTAGCTCTATTTGGCAAATCTCAGCCAGTGTCCATTTGTTCAGTCGCTCTCTTTGTGTAATCAAAGGCAAGTATGTCTGCTCAAGATCTGACTTGGCTTTAAGGAGCTGTTGCCTCCAAGCCTCATGCTTCGCTTCGAGTTCGTGCCAGTCAAATTGCTCAACCCATTTGAGAGCTGATATGCAAAGACAGCTTCGGCCCATCGCATAACATTCCATGCAGATGTCGTACGCATCATCCTCGTCCGAAATAGAGGGAGTAACGCAGTTCGGGCAAGTGAGGAACCTGTTGAAGATATTTCCCCGACAGTAGGAGCATGTGATATTGCTATCATAAGGAATAAACTCGACATCTTGTTCGGGCAAATTGCTGCTGAAACATTCAGAAAGAAGTACCTCGTTGTACAAACCGAAAAGCTGCTGGAAATCCTTGATCAACTTCTTGTAGGTTGGGCGATTTATGTCCGATTTCTGGGCTTTTTTAAGGACAGCAGAGTAGTGTTCGAGCGAGTAGAACACGATGGACTTGTTCTTATATTGTTCATCCCGGCAAACCATTCTTGCGTGAGGTAAAGCTTCATGTAAGGCCTTGTCCAGAGTTTCCACTGTGGTCCGATTCCAAGCTACTTTCACTGTCCTCGTTCCGCGGTTCCACACCTGATGTGCTGCTAGAGGCGGTATGAGAATAAAATCTCCTGGTTTCTGCTCGACGACGTATGTCTTGAATGGGGCCGCTTTCCAAGCGTTTATCTGTGCGAAATGGTCCTCGATATCAATGTCATGACCAAGCGTAGACATCCAGTAATCGTAAACAGCACGGCGGTCCTTGCTCTCCGTCATAAACCAGATGGAAGATCCTGGCTTAGTATTTTTTCCATATTCAGCTGAACCATCCGATGCTTCGACCATTATATTCTGGCCGAGGCTGCCGCACATCTCTTGATGGGCTGGTGTGTAGGTTCCTTCATGACCGATGTAGCACATAAGATTCTCTGCACGTGCATTTGAAGGAAGACAGCTCATCAAATCACCAGCTCTGGCAACCGGGACGTTCGAGTGGGCCTTGTTGAGATAGAAGACCGGCGACGGTATGACTTCTTTCAATTCATCATGCCATTCAGGGGGGCAATCAATGTCTTTGAGATATATGCGCTGCCGATCAGGGTCTTTGTAGTTGTACGGTGTCCATTGATCGGTAAGAAGCGGCATATTTTTAAGATAATGTCCTATCGTGAGAGGCAAGTCGGTCTTTGTACTTAAATTCCGCGCATATTCCGCTTGACACGACACATATTATCAGCAGGGATTTCAAGATTCCTGAGCCAGCATGCTTACTCACTCTTTGCAGAATAATGGCCCCTGAGCCACTTCTCGGAGAAAAGGTTATGATTCAGCCTTTTATCAAAACCCTCAATGACCAATGGTCTGCCCAATCGAACAACTTGAAGTGCAACAAGTTTCTCAAAATCATCTAAGTCATTCTGATCGACAGCATCGCAGTGAATCCTGGTCACAAATTCGAAGTTCGGTGTCGATTCCACTAGAGCCTCTAAATCCAGGTCTGGGGAAAGCGGTTCAAAAGCCGCGCGAGGGCGCTGTGCGGGCATTCTAACAGATGATCGGGATAGATTGATATATGATTCAACTATTCAGGGAGGGCGGGGGGAGAAATTGGACATGAAGATGTTTATGGCATAGGTAGACAAGTCGCATATTCACCAAGTGCTTAAAGCATGTTTTTAAATAGCAAAGATGCAAGGTCTGGTGTTACGGACGAGAAGTATGGTCAATAACAAGACTTCGGCACAAATGATCAGAGCTCGAGAGGTTCTACCTCTTTGATCACACGTAGACGCAACTGCAGAAATTGTCCCTCTTCGCCTGCTGATAAGAGAATGGGAATAGAAGGCTGCTGTGGAGATGGCGAAGAGAAAAAGAGGATAGATAACAAGCGCCTCGTACTGCACGCGAGGGAGGATGACTGATGTGATGTACGGAGCGGACCGAGCGGAATGGACTTTCTTGGGGCTTGCCTGAACTTGTTGCCAGAAATATCAACTTACACACCTAGGCGATGAACTCAGGAACGAGGACTCAACCAGCCAATCTCGTTTTCCCTTCCGTCTCCCTCCCCTGGCATCTCTTGGTTTTCGCATCTTGATGGAATGGCTTTGTGCTAGACTCAAATTCCTGTTATGACTGACTGACAACACCCATCTTGTTCTCGATTTTTCCGATAATGACCGCAATCGCAAATATGCCATTGTCTTGCTTACCCCTGCGCTACCAGATTCGAATGCGTCGATGCTTCGCAGGGCGAGCCACCTCTCTTCACCAACCGCTTTCATCCGCTTTCTACCGTGGCTCTCGCGCTTTCACGTTGCCCCAGAATAGTCCAGCAGCGATCAATGGCTTTCCGGCATACCGTCGAAGCTCAAATTATGATCCGTGCAGGCTCAAAGATTCAGGCGTTTCTACCTCGCAGAGTCGCCCAAGTTCGAGCTCGGTCAACTATTACAGACCACCGGAAAATGGATTCATAGCCTCTCTCCCACGGTCATGGATTCCATACGCGGAGTTGTTGCGCCTTGACAAGCCTACAGGCACATACTATCTTTTCTTCCCTTGTCTATATTCCACCCTTCTTGCTGCATCCATGACGACTTCCACCGGCCCGTTCGAAGTTGTCGGAACCGCCGGTCTGTTTCTCGCTGGTGCCTTAATCATGCGAGGTGCTGGGTGTGCGATCAACGATCTATGGGACCGGAATCTGGACCCGCATGTTGCAAGAACCAAGTTTCGACCTATCGCGAGAGGGGCAATCTCCCCTAGCAAAGCAGTCGTTTTTACTGGCGTTCAACTACTGGCAGGGCTGGGCGTCTTGCTTCAGTTCCCAACCCAATGCCTTTGGTATGGTATACCTAGCCTCCTTTTGGTGGCCACCTATCCCCTCGCTAAGCGTGTCACATACTACCCGCAAGCTGTGCTTGGTCTTACATTCTCGTGGGGTGCGATTATGGGTTTCCCAGCACTGGGTATTGACCTGCTTCACAATACTCCTGCCCTGGAAGCGGCTGCTGCTCTTTATTCTAGTTGTGTCGCCTGGACAATTCTATACGATATGATATATGCGCACATGGACATAAAAGATGATGTAGCGGCTGGCATCAAGTCAATTGCTCTTCGTCACGAGAAAAATACAAAAGCTGTCCTTAGTGCATTGGCAGGAGTCCAAATATCGCTGCTTGCTGCAGCTGGTGTCGCAGCCGGTAGCGGACCTGTTTTCTTTGTCGGCAGCTGCGGCAGCGCAGCTCTTTCCCTTGCCGCGATGATTTGGAAAGTTCAGCTAAAAAATGTACAGGACTGCTGGTGGTGGTTCAAAAATGGCTGTCTCTTTACTGGCGGTGGTATCACTGTGGGGTTACTCCTGGAATATATCGCGCAATTAACTGGTTTTTATGATGAAGCCACAGAGTCGCATTGCTAAGGAATTCAGAGAACGGGCCGTACCTTTGCAGGCTTCTTTGAGCAATTCACCCTGTTATGCTAGAACGCCTCCGTGGTTGAGCACCGATATACTGCTCCACAACACAGACTATAGCCTCCCAATCCATCATGGCACCATTGCCAGTGTCGCCGCAAGCAAGGTGCTTCTCCATGGGCCGGAGCACGGAAACCCAGCCATCCTTGCTTGCATTATTCACACCCCATTCCTTCTCTAGAATCTCAATCTGTTTACCAGTGACTGGGTGATTCCACATTGCCGTGTTCATTGCTGGAGCAACGAAGATAAGCGGCTTCTTAATTTTGATTTTGCCATCCACCAACCCAGTCGTGTCCCAGGCTCTCATCACCGAGAGAAGAAGGTTATCGGCTATCCCCATGGTCATCTTAGCCATGGTGTTAGCCGAGAGGGGCGCAACAAGTAATAAATGCGCCCACTTCCTGAGTTCTATGTGCAGTATCGGGTCGCCACGCGTCCAGGGAGTCTTCCACTCATCTTCATCTCTGTAAATAGCCTCAACACCTGGGACTGCTCGCAGAGCTTCTAATGAAGGCTGTTCCAAGCTTTGTCCGTCTAAAAAGCGCTCCGCTGACTTGGTGACGATAATACGAATAGACACATTGTGGTGACGACTAAGCGCTTCAGCGATATTCGGCAATTTGATTGTAGCGACCGATCCGCTGGCCGCGAGAATTATGTGTACTTTCTCATCGTGGGAGTGTGTTTGAGCGCTCAGTGGTGGCGGAGAATATTCCATGACGTGAGAATCCAGTGATTTTCTCGTCGGTATAATGCGAGATTGGAGATAGACTTGAGCCGTATCAAATGACCTTGCATTTACGGCCTTGAGGACACTGGATCTGTCACATCACATGACCATGATCACTTACATATCCTGGTGAACAAGGCAGTCATTTACTCAAACTTGATTGGCCCGATTAGCCTAACTACGGCAGTCAGTTCGTGAGCTTAGTGAGCATGCTTAGTTAATTGACCGGGGCAGGAGTTCTCCGCAAAATCCGTAGACTTTCTTTAAGCTATACTCGACTACAGCAAGTGTGCAGGTAATATATACTATTATCTAGAAACCACCATGTTCTCTCGCATCCTACCTTCGTCGGTGGGTCCCCAACAATCCTCGGACTTCTTATCATCTCACCAGGCTCACAGCAAGATCGCATCTTTAGGCATCCCGGCTTCTCTCCCGGCCGTCTTTAATCCAACCTCGCTCGCCAGGCTCACCCTTGTCTTTGATTCTCAATGCCCGTCTCTTGTCATCTGAAACTCGGACAGCGATTGATAAGGCTGTCGCATCTGCCCCAGTTGTTCTCTTTATGAAGGGTACTCCTGAGACTCCTCAGTGCGGGTTTTCCCGGGCCAGCATACAAATTCTGGGATTGCAAGGCGTTGATCCCAAGAAGTTTGTTGCCTTTAATGTTCTAGAGGACCCAGAGTTGCGTCAGGGTATGTTCTGAAGACTGGCTAGGTGATTGTCTACTCGACGGTTAGTGCGGTCAGCTAATTTCATTCCGATTTCAACTCTGCAGGCATCAAGGAATATTCCGATTGGCCCACGATCCCCCAACTATACCTCGAAAAGGAATTTATTGGTGGCTGCGATATTCTGATGTCGATGCATCAGAATGGGGAGCTTGCCAAAATGCTTGAAGAAAAGGGGGTACTGGTGGCAGCCGACTAATCATGAAGAAATTCTCATTCTTATTGTATGTACACTTGTCTTGCGCTCTGGCTTAGCACCCCAATTCGACCCTGCGGGTTGTTCGCCCACCTCGTCTTACCGGAAAGAACATCGAAATCTTAAATCTGATGTTCTATTTCTGCAACTTCACATTCTCTTTAGGAAGTTGAAACCCCCAGGGCGAGGCACCTTCGAGGTTTTTTCAAGATATGTGCATAAACATCACAACAAATCAGCAAGTCTAAGTTGGAGCCTGAAAGCTACGCCCAACATCGTTCTCATCTCTAATTGCTCATCGTCCGACTATTAACACTGATCCATTATCCTGGATGACCCTTGGTGGATGCCACCTGCGGTTCACACCCTACTTGCCTCTCTCGATTTCGCTAAATCCTCAACAATGCCTTTCTCAACTTTGGCACGTTGTCTCGCCTCGTACGCCTCTCTGCTCCTCAAAATCCTGTCGACAATTTCCCCAGCATTGACGTGCTGGTAGGGATGACTGGGGGATTCCTTGAATATACCCATCTTCTTTGGAGCGACATAAGGATCGTAGGTGAGGGGTATGAACGTGGTAGGACCATGATAAACTGCATCTGGCACACCCAGAGGCATTGCTTCCAAATATGGCTGGCTTGGGGAGAAGGGAGCAGAGAAGACAACGGCATGGACGTACTGAAGGAGAATTAGCAACACAGTTCTCGGGTTTATGGACCATGCGGAGTATGTAATCTTCAAACTCACTCGACACTGAAGGACACATAGTCCACGCTCAAAGATGTTCATGATGGGGTAGTTGAGCCCTTTCCAGTAATTTATGACGTCATCATCATGAATGCCGGCAACAACAAAGGCCGGCTCATAGTCTTCACCATATTCCTTTATTCTCTTCTCCCTGATCTCAGGATCATACCAATGCTGTTGGTGGCCCTGAAATCTTTCTGACTCAATGACCTGGCGCAAGAACTCAATATGACCAGAAGAAAATAGATCAAAGCCTCCGTCAACATACACAATACGTTGCCCCGGCTTGGGTAGCTTTCCTGTGACAATCTGCTCAAATGATCCCGACTCTTCACTCGTGTTTCCAAGCTTCGCTGAGGTGGAACCATTCCAGATCCAGACACATGGTCCTGGCTGTAGACCGCTCTCATCAGTTGCGTAGTCATGAATTCTCTGCAGCAGATTCTCGCCAGATTGTTCGCGTTCCTCCTCGCTACCGGAGCCTTCTTTCCCAGTAATTGTCTCCTTGACACTTCTAACGAAATGCCCTTTCGTACAGAGAAGCATGCGTCCTACAAGGTCAGTTGTGGATATTCCTGGTGTTCGCTTGACCACTCGGAAACGGCCTGCAGCCTTCACGTAACGATAACAGTCATCGCCATTGCTGTCGGAGGTTATGTCATCGCCATGCACGACATACTTGCATCCATAATGTGACACCCATGGCAGAAAAGTCACGTAGGGAGCTGAGGGCACGCAGCGAGTTACCCATCGGCATGCTTCCACCGCAGCTACTCTGGGTCATGGTCAGTCAAATTCGATACAATGAACTATTGCAAGAATCAACTTACCTCTCCTCCAACTTCATCACTGTTGGACCCTTATTCTCTAGGATGGCCTCATCGGAATGTACACCGACATAAAGTTCTCTGCCTAGTCTACGGGCCTGTAGCATGGCACCGGCGTGTCCTACGAAACTCAGCTTTCGGGAATACGGTGCCAAGGAGACGTTGCAGCCTCTCACCGTGATGACTGAAGTCAAAACAGCCATCCACCCATATACGGTCTTCAGAAATGGGCAGATCATCCTGGGGATCAGCCGGCCATTTGCCTTTTGGCGGAACTATGTCCTCGGACATTTGGACTCGTATTAAGGCGATTTCGTGAGTGCTTTTTTTGGGGACGCAGATGACTAGAGAGATTGGTTAGGGCTGGGTCAACGAAAAGAGAGGTAAACAGTTAGACTTTCAATGCTAGTGATATGGGATCGTTCGCCACACCCAGCCAACATGTGAAAAGGCAACAATAGTAGGGGACAGAGGGATACTGCGCGGAAGTGGTTATGTGGCGTACCTGAGCAAGGAAGTACCTTACATAATCCGGCACCAGATGTACATAGTGTCATTATATTCGCCATGATCCCAGGATTGCCCCAGAACACGAAGCGCAGCATCAAATACAGGAGACATGATGTGGCCCGCGTAGCTTATGGTCAGATTAAGGTTCATATAAATGTATATGGAGAGGTCGAATCCCTGTAATAGATATGAAGGAGTAATCAAGACCATTCCTGCTTACTACAAATCATTCCTAGTCCTCTACACAACTATAAGTATGCTTTATGCCAGGAACAGTATTTCAGTAATAGCTATGGCTCCCCTGCGAATGTATCGACAGGATAAGCAGGCTCCCCGGGTGTGTATATTGAAACATACGAAATGTGCATTGAAGACGCTGGTGTCTCTCATCAGCCATTAATTCTCGAACTCGAATAACTCCGCAAACTACGTAGCCATGTCAGAGGTCTTGCCGGTGTACAGACAAGAAGATCATCTGCAAAGGTCATGCGAAGGTAAGCTTGCTTCATATTATAGTGCTGTCATATCACGCACCGGGCTTTGATAAATCTATGATGAACCTACATTGAAGACAACAAGTAAATGACATGATACATAGGTATGCGCTTGCTGACGGACAAGTAATTGTAAAAGGACAGAAAAATGTAGAGCTGGAGTGATCTATTGCTTTTGTTGTGGGGGGAAGAGGTCATGCATCATCAAGCCATATATGCTGCCCACTTTGCAGAAGCATGGGCCATTTGAGTCCAAGCACTAACACTGCTGGGACACCGGTCTGAGGATGCAGGGCTGGTAAGTGAAATCGCAAGAATGGAGCTGAAATATTCCCTAAAATCGAGACGCTGCGAAGAACTCAAAGGGACGCCATGTATATGCAACGCTTAAAAGAGATAGTGGTTGGCTGTGTCCATAAACTGTGCGTCAAGCCAGAAGAACTTCAGGATCAGAGTTGACTCTTGTCGTGCTCGCGTTGTTCACTGAAAACTTGCCGACTCATTTCCAAAACAGCTTCAAATCCTTCTCGACCTCGCTTGGCGTTCTGACTGAAGCGTTCAACACTAGCCTCCTCAACTTTGTTCTTGATTTTCTGCCATCCCCCACATAGAGCGGTGATCTTCGCTTCTTGGCTGAACTGTGTACTTGAAGATGAATCCAGCAGTGATGGTTGGTAGACAACGGTTTCCCTGACACTGAGGACATTTGACCACGTGAGATTTGTCGAGCTCATCGTGACTATTTTGGACATCGGATCAACGTATGATATTTCGTACACATGAGACGTAGCGCTGCCCCCAAAGAGTGAGAGTACCCATTGTGGGACGGACTGATTACATGTGATCAAACGTTCGGTGCGCAGCTGAGATGAGACCAAGGCAGGCATTAGTGATACTAGCTCAGTCTGAAGCCGGATCAAAAGGACCAAAACACATACTATACCGGTTTGCACATCCACGCTTCGAGAAAGAGTGTCTACTGCCACGACATGTGTGGACTTGTCATTCCAAGGGCAGTACTTGCGCCAATTTGCGGTCGATACCTCTTCCCACGAGTAATCGAAGGTGCATGATGAAGAAAAGACCTTCATGACGAAAGGAGATGGCGGCACAAGACTTTGGCTCCAGTTCTCAGATAAATAAAAATAAGCCGTTTTTCGAGATCGAGTGCACAAGAGCGTGAGGTAGGACACAGCAGCGATGACAGCAGTCAAATAGCGAGAAGGGCGGGTGAGATACTAATAAACACCACAACCACTACGAAGAGGTGGCAAATGTTAAAAAACTACAAAGGCCAATCAATCAAGATGAAAGTAAAAAGAGAAGCCCCCCTTCCAATAATGAGGTACAGTGGAGGCACTGGAGTGACTGGACAAGAGCTTGCAGTGTGGCGACAGCTTTGTAATAACTGAAGGATTAATTCTATGAGTTTAGAACATTGGAAATTTTTGCATTTGTAGACTGGAAGCCCCGCCCGAGTGGCGCCAAGGATCGGGCTTTCCCGGCATAACCTCAGAAGTGAGCGAACTACGGCGAAGAATGGCAGCCCACGAGTGCAGTGGGCAGAATCTCAAGCACACTCAGTAGGTACAGTGGGAGGACTACTAGGTTAGTACCAGTAGTATAGAAATGTCACAGCCATTCACAACCCTTCCTGATCACTCACCAAACCAAACTGTATGGCCAAGTACTCATATGGACATCGCCAGTGTTTCTGGTGGCAGGATATTTGTGGCTAGTATTAACTGGCAAGTAGGACAAAGTCTTGGAGTGCATCTTATTGATCAGGGAATAAATACTTAGTACTTAGTAAGTGCTAAGTACTGGTGAAGATATACCTGCCTCCAAGAATCACTCTACAGTATTGGTGATGTCCTGTGACTGCCACAATCAGCCGGGGCTTGAATCTAAGGTATGTATACATCTTCCGCTTCGACACTTCTCATCCACTTTCGATTATCCAGAGACTTTGTGAGCTCACTTCGGAGTGTGTACCGCATGGACAAACTGTTCTGGTGCAGTACTTGCAGGGCCGCCGCAGTAAGGGCAGCAGTGGAATGCATTACAGACACTCTGTTGTATTTAGTAAATCATTCATCCTCTTTCCACTGGATGCTCTTCTTATATAGTCTATTTTCAATATATATATACTCCATATATATGTGAGTCTCTGGAACATAAGTCATCCTACAGGCTGTAAGCCCGCCAGGATCATCATTTAGACCCAAAACTCAGGTCGTGCAGACATCTTGCACCTTCTATAGCTCAATCGTAGCCCAAAGGAGGTCGTTTACTCTGCTAGATGGGGGGGGTACACCACTATATTTTGACTTCGTGGCTTGTAGTTGCAGAGTAACCTTGACCTTTGCAGTTAGCGTACAGCAAGGCCGTCGTCAACCTCGATAAGTCTGTCCACAACTTTCTGCACAAGCAACCAGTTAGCAACAAGTCTTCGTAAGACAGAGCACGAATACAGGTATAGAAGCGAGTCGCAGTAAGTCCCGTGACCAATAACCGAAATATAGCCAGATGCTACAACTGCAACGCTTGCAGCCTCAATTGTCCCGTATTTCGGTGTGGTAGTACCATAATGCACGTATAGCCTACAGTTCTTTGGTGCCGACCCACACTGTAAAGGTGATAAGAAAGGAGATGGTGCTGAGCATAAGAGAAATGTTGATGGCATTTTTAGGCTAGAACTTTGCATTGTTACTTTTAGAATTCGAATTATGTTCCTCCGTCTGGAATACCTATAGTCATTCAAATTCAAACACGAGGATCGCCTATTTAGCATGGGTCCATTTTGTTTCCAAGACCCCGTTGACATCATTCTCATGCAGCTGCAGCGGATTTCTTAAAGAGGTCCTCTACAAGGTACAGCGCTTACATTCGAGGGCCTGTCTAGGCACCTGTTTATATAGTAGCTGTCTAAGGGCCTATCTTACAGCCTAATAACAAAGCTGGGTAAGGATGTTTATACAACCTTCAAGGGCCTTGCATCTTCGTCACCCTTGCTCACGCCCTCATAGATTTGCAAACTAACTTGAATCCCATGTGCCACGGGTGCCCGAGCAGGCACTGGTGCTACAGTAGCTCATCCATCAAATAAACAAGACTATGAACGCACAATACAGCTTGTTCTCCATCAGCTTTTGCGACTAGCTACACTTCACCAGTACATTAAACACTGTTTGAGCATGACACGAAGCGCATACAATAATGGCTCCAATAAAAATATATATATCGGATTAGGAGCCGAAGTAGGGGTTATAGCCCAGGAAAATCCAGGTTTACATCAAGATAAGTAGGTATTTTATTTCAAGTATGATTCTTACCTTCAGCGAATATTGGGTAGAGCCCCCGCGATGTCAGCCTACGAGTCCAATTTCTAGATGTTATGCCTTTCTGATTGAGCTGTCTATGCTGATAACTTCCTCGACTACAGTCTAGAGTGAGGTGGCAAGAACCTGTATTCTGATCTTTCTAGTTATATCATTACTTGTCTAGATAATAATAACTTCTGAAAAGGTGATCATTTACTAGTTGTTGGGGCTGACTACACCTACCCGGTAGGGCTTAGCAAAGTGACAGCACGCAGGACAAGGATGAATGTCCGCCGAAGTCTCACCTACCGGTTGATTATTGTGTTGTGCGAAAGTGCAACTGCGCCACCAGACTACCGCCTTCAAAGTATTTTGACTCACCTCTGCTCGTTCGCGCCATCGCATCTACAGTATTTACGTTATTGAGAAGTGACAGTCTCGCAATGGTCGAGTTGAGGAAGCGTAAAGCGCCAGCGCAACCCCTCGAAACGGAACAGAAGAGCAAGCGCATCCTCGAGCTCGGCTCAGCGTCGAAGAGAGGGCCTAAAGAAGTCAAGGCTGGCGACTCTCTTGCCGACGCATCTGGCGACGCTCACTATGAAACCCCGAAATCTGGAGAGATGCTCGATCTGAACAAATTTGGTGGTGAATTCGAAAATCATGATGGGATGAAACTCAGATTGAAGGATCTCGTCGACAGGAGCAAGTCCGGTGTTGTGTTATTCACATATCCCAGAGCGTCTACCCCTGGATGTAGGTTGAACCGAGACCCAACTTTGTTCTCTCGGCTCCTTTGGCTTGCCCCAATTCATACATGATGCACTCATGCACGGTACCATTTATCTTTATCATTCTGTTTCCTCTTTCCTTCCTGGTTACCCACGGCATAACAAACCTGTTTTTCCCATCGACTCACTCTGCTATAGGTACCAAGCAAGCCTGTCTTTTCCGCGACAATTATGAATCCCTAACTTCAAGTGGGTTGTCTATATACGGTCTTTCAGCGGATTCGCCCAGAGCAAATACCACTTTCAAGACTAAGCAGAAGTTGCCCTTTCCCCTCCTGTGTGATTCCTCCTATACACTTATAGCTGCTCTTGGATTCAAGAAAATGCCAAAAGGAACAACAAGGGGGGTTTTCGCTATAAACAAGCAGGGTAAAGTCCTTCTACGTCAAAAGGGTGGTCCTGATGCAACATTCGAGGCTGCGCGACAAGTCGCTATTGCCTCAAAAGAAGAGAAACAGGAAAGTCCTTAGAGCTGCACATTCTCTCGTGGATCTGCCACAACAGAAGGAGAGAGACATGGATTTATTAGACAATGCCAGCAAGTGATGATTAGCTGGCAATTAATGTGGAGGATTCTGGCGATGTTCCTTGGTAAATGTGAATGTACTCTTGTCCCTAGACAAGCCTGGTGGTACTCCATTTCTCATCGGCTACTGACTAGAGTTGGAAGGTAGAAAGTACTGTACAAAGGAGCTTTGATCATGCTTTGACGCGGAATGAATATGTAATCAAATCAACGGAAGTCACCATGATCCCGAAGATCTTGAACAACTGACCCCCTCGAGTGTTATTCGAAGAAATTAGCTTCAGTTTGTTCAGGATGCATATGCTTACAATTAGGTTAATGCTATTCAGTCATTGCTCTCGGAAATACTGTTGTTCCGCACGTAACGACTCGACCTCCCGGGAAGGCCTCCGTCGGACAGTTCGATTGCTACCGACAGCGGGCCAGCGATTCCAGAGGATCAATTCTTTGCGAAAACATAGGATTCAAAAGGTGAGGTATGAAAGAGCACTTGCTGTGCTTAATGGCAGCATCTTGCTGTGAAGGCTTTTCTCAATCGAAGTTTCAAATACTCATAATCAATAGAAACCATCATGGCTCGTGACATAGTTAAAGCGGCCAAGTCAGCATCAAATGTGATCGCTGTTCACAAGGTTGGTCGTCGAAGAGCAACAATATAGTATCATATTTACTAATGTGTTACTCAGAAATATACTGTTCAATCGACTGGTGTATGGGAGCGTATCCGTCGCCTTCTGTCCATCGATCCTAATCGCTCTACTGGCGTTCCATTGAACTCCCAATTCCGCCTGCCGGCTCCAGGATCTCTTCCACCTTTGTCCTATGATGACCCGATAACGGTTCCCGCGGGTGACATCGCCGATAACCCTTACTGGAAGCGCGATGTTCGGAGAAATTACCCTAGACTCAGTACTGTCAATCAGGCCGACGTTGTTGGTCTCCTTAGCGTAGGCAGTCAGGCAGCACCAAAGGAGGTTTTGAAGCTTGGTGAAGCGGGTGAACGACAGTTGGTATCGGTCAAGCAACAGGCAGAGGAGCGCGGCCTTGCCGGCCTTTTCGAGAAAGACAAGGAAGGGGCTAGAGGTGTCTTGAATGCAAATGGTTTGCCGCCCTTGCCTTGCAGCTTGAATTCTTCGGCGTCCAAGTACCAGCTGGATCATCAACATGGCTATCCTGGCGTGTAAGTTCTACCTCTCTCTATGTTTTTCCAACCACTGACGTTCTGCAAGATATCCCTGCCGCACTTTCGTTTGATTATTTAGGGGTAGACTTACAATTACTATTCAACAGAATCTCTCTCCGTATACGCCCTTGGGACCCCTCCTACAGCTTTACCTCAACAGTTGTAACCAATGTAAGCCTTTGATGTGAGCAAGCCTGTTGCATATTCTCAAGACTTCCATGGCTTGGAGTATAAATGAGAAAGCACGCTCAAGAGTCACAGGTAGCTGAACTTCAAACCATTAGCTACTTGCCGCACGGAGCAAATGGCTCTCCCAACCGTAGATCTCGATTCGATAGTTGACCCCGATTCCGTTGGAATGGGTCGATATCCTCAGTGAAATAAGGCCATGATCTGGAACTAGGGTCACATAACCTCGTTGCCTTGTTTGCCCAGATCATCAAACATTACGCTGGGCCATCCCAGCACTTCAAACACAATATCAAACATAATATACTACATGTTCCGAAGATCCGGTTTCGTCGAGCAACTTTTATGATTACGAACACTTGATTATTCTTGAGGCTAGGACAATATCGTATCTTATTCAACTGCACATAACGCATAAACATAATGTTCAAATGTGGTACTGAGGCTGATCCTCATCGATTCCTCAGGCGAAAGGGTTGGTGCGCGTACCCCACCAGGTAAGGAAAAGACTGAGTCCTACTGTCTCAAAGACCCTGCCGACAGCGCCTACGGCCACTGTGTCGAGGGGCCGTTTCTCTGTGAAGATCTGGCTGATGACCTGGAATGATCACAATCAATAAACCAAAGTCGTACCATGCGATATCATTTATAGACTTACACTCGGAGCTGCACTGGCCATAAAGATCAAACTTCCCAGATAGGCTGCACCCTTATAACTCAGGGTCCCCGTTGCATTGATCAACGCCGCCACGCCGTAAGTCTGTACAGCACTGCCAACCAGAGAGCTACCCCAGGCAGCTGCAGCACCAGCGGCCTCCTTAGACTTGAAGAACTCTTCCTTTGAATTGGCAGCTTGGGCACGATGGTAGGTATCACCAAAGACCGGGGCAAGAATGCCAAGTGAGGCAGTGTGCGTGAAAATAGCGCCGACGGCGATTGCAGACGGCTTCACGGATGGCAAATCTAATGGCTCTAAGTCAGTCTAAAGCTCGAGCAACAAGTCTATCTGAAGTTGCCGGGGTGGGGTGGGGTGGGGTGTGTAGAGGTGTGGCTCCCGGGGAAAAACTCACAATTGAGGGTCGTCATTTCGCTGGTTGTGGTAAGTTTCTAGATCGTTTTCAAATAGCAAATATCCGTAGTTCTTGGTGCTGGTGGTAATTGTTCTTAACAAAAGGGCAGAATGAAGAGGAATAACGTCGCTTTATGAAGCTCCCCAAATCCGAAGGGGTCACATGCCGTTGCCGTCATTCTGGTAAGAGACCAGTGACGAGGTGAGCAATGACGTCGTCATGAGCAAAAGACATGGACACTTGAGAGAGGGATGGAGCCTAGTGGAAAAATCTACTCCGTTACTGGGAAGGTAACTGAGCGACCAATTCATATTATGACGTCATCTGAAGCTGTAAGTTGACAGAGCTGAAGTAATTTGACATGGTGGTATCGGGTACTACACGTAACTACAGCATCTATTATTGTTTACTCATACTAGTGACTAAGCTGATAGCTGCTATCGCTCACTCGGGGTTTTCTACATAGTGTTGAGGTTAGCTAGACACTCTGCCATTCAACTTGGTCACCCATAGGTGACCCGGACTATATGGTGGCCAACCAAAGGTAGCAAGAGAGAAAAGCCGCCGAGGGGCACATGCCCTGATCTTCAATGTACAATTGTACATTAGATGGGCTACTGTTAGTGCGGTATTGAAGCATGGCATTTCCGCATTTCAACATGACAATGCCACTAACGAGTTTAGGAACCCAAACAGCTCGCTTGCGGCCGACTCAGAACACGCATTGCACAGCACATATGCCAATTATTCAGGGGTGGGGCCCACTGACCGTCAGCGATGTCTCAGGAGCCCCGACCTAAGCATAGTGTAACTCGAAAATGCAACCTCAAACATCTCCAGACATCAGTGCTGCGTATCTAGTACATACTCCGTATTCCAGAGTCTGCCCACCTTCTAGCAACCTACTAGGCTACGGACACATGTGTTTGACATAAACTAAATCCAATTGTCGCGATTGGCTAATAAAAACAAGCTAATAAAAGGACCAATTAGCGGAAGTGGCTCGACACTACTGTACCTGCCTAGCTTCGCGATATAACAAACCAATAATTGAGACTGCCTCTTTTGCTCGTTATATTTATTGAGATATTTGTTATGTCAATTAGGTGTAAAAGGGCTTTCACGTAATTTTGGCCGATTCTAGGAATTATACTGACTCAGCAGAAATATCCAAATTCTTAAAAATTTTCTCGAAAAATTCCTTATCTAAGTAGTTCTGCCCAATCGATATCAGAGATATTATAGGAACATCCCTTGCACGAATCTTGTTATGAGGCGATTCTACAATTCTTGTATGGTAAAACCAATCTGGTGGTTGTAGAATTTTGTTATATAGCAAACATTCGTCTAATGGGATTTGTTATTCCGTATAGCGTGAGGCTATACGGAGTAGTAATGGCCCTTTCCCCCCCACAGAGATCCATCAGTGATAAATACGCACGTACGGGTACCTGTATTTTCTTTGTTTTTTTTCCCAGCAGTTTTTCTCCAGCCGAGCCTCTGAGGTCCTTTGATTGAAGCACATCTTCATCAAGAGTGCAAATACCTATTCAATTGTTATTCTACTTGTTTCGCATCTCTCTGTATCTATTACTTCTTCCGCCCCTCGTGCTCGTTGATCATCTATCAAAGATTCTTCCTACTCCGGTACAGCAGATATTTTCAACACTTTGGAGACCATGAATGAGATTGAGATCAGCCCAGTCGATCTGACTAATGCGATTGATGTCGATGAATCTCTGGTTCCCGTTAGGGACACCAAAAAAGCCAGTCAAAGCAGTGTAGATTTTGACGGTCTACTGGCGACTCCTCTTCTCCTCCAGGAAGATCTCAAAGAGGGCTGTGGAGGCCAGCTTTGGCCAGCCGGCATGGTTCTTGCGAAGTATTTGTTACGTCAGCATCGCTTTAGCCTTGCCAATAAATCAATGTTTGTCACCTTGTGAACTTGACCTTTGCTGTCTTCCTCGTTTCTATCCTGTACAGCCAGTCGGACGTGGCATTACTGATACTTCGCTAGTATTGAGCTGGGTTCTGGTGGCGGCTTGGTTGGGCTGGCAATTGCACGGGGTTGTCACGTTGGCCCCTCGCCTGTGTTCATCACAGATCAAGCGCCGATGTTATCCTTGATGGAAACAAATATCAAACTTAACAATCTCTCGGACCTTGTTACAGCCAATATACTAAACTGGGGAGAACCAATCTCGGACTGCATTCCACAAAAGCCTACGATCATACTCGCAGCCGATTGCGTTTACTTCGAACCAGCATTTCCTCTGCTGATATCGACCCTGCGAGATCTTCTCGGTCCAGAGTCCATATGTTATTTCTGCTTCAGAAAACGTAGACGCGCTGATCTCCGGTTTATGAAGATGGCGAAGAAGCTGTTCATTGTTGACGAAATTCAAGATGACCCTGATGCGAAAACATACCGGAGAGAGAACATCTTCCTCTACACCATACGCCCGAAACCTAGTCAGAGTACTATACAAACTTTAGCAGCGCACCAGGACTGCTGACTTTGGAAAAGAATTTGTCAATTGGCCACTGCCTCAACCCTCCCAAGTTGAGCATATACTACAATTTCAATCCATAGCTTTTGTCCTTCGCACCCTCCCCGATTTTATTGCCTTGAATATCAGTAACTTCACCTTGTTTCCCAATAATCTTGACTCCACCTCTCTTGAGATCAGACATGAGTTTCTGGGCCTCTGCCGCCTTTCCAAATTGTTGCTTGCTTATTGTGGATGCGTGATTCAGCTTTCTGCGTTCACGCCTCAGTCTGGCCTTCTGTTCGCGGGTCATCTCTTCCCTGGCAATTGATACCCCGTTTCTCAGATTCACCTCCCCAGACACTTTGCCATCATCTCCAGGGGCATAAATCTCCTGTGGAGCAAGTGCTACCGGCCCGTTGACCGCATTGCTGGTCGTCGGCTGAGCGTCTTCCATGGTAATAGTCGCGACATCAGTAACCACGTTGATGGTTGCGTGTGGGGCCTTCGGCTTATAATGCCAATTAGAGAGTGTATCCAATTGAGAGCTTATGCTCTCCCAAAGGGTGGTAACGTTGGAATGCTCGCGCAACAACTTCTGATTCTTGGGGTCGACATAGTTGGGATCGGTTGATCGTAGATGATCGGCCTCGTAAAGTTCAGCGAGACTCTGTTGTGGCTTAGTATCCTCAAGCTCAAGCCTCGATCGTTCTGCGGGCGTCTTTTCAACAAGTCCAGGACGGCGGCGTATTACTTCATCAAACTGTTTCGCAAGAATTCGTTGCTTGACCAAATCCTCAATACTACTTGTCAACTCAGCCGTGACAACGGGAACAGGCTTGCCTATGCGCTCAAAGTCGAGGTCCTCTTCAATAAGAGAATTGACAGGTCTTTCAATCGCTCGAGCTTCACCACTAATCATCCACTCCTTCTTGGCGACATTGGCTGCCTCCAAGCGGCGGATCTCATCCGCGATTCGGGCACGTTGTTTTTCGTGGCTAGAATAGTGGCTTTGGGATGGGAGATCATCCCCAGAAATGTCTCCGTCGTCTTCTGAGATTTCATCTTGAAACAGATCTCGGCGAACATCGGCCATGGCTCGGTCAATGTCACCATCGGAGATATTATCGGTAGGCTGCGTTTTAAGGAGTAGACGCGATTTCCTCTTTGAAGCTTTCTTTGGAGGTGGCGCAAAGAAATCTTCATACTTGATGTCGCTGGTGTTGAGCCAACTTGTTGCTCCTGGAGCAACATGCATATCGTCTTCCTCGGAATCTGAACCACCATCTATATCCATATTATCAAAAGTGGGCCCCTCATCATCGCTGTCATCCATGCCATCATTTCCGTCATGGGTAGGCGCTGCTGTTGCCGAGCTTCTCTTCCGGTCCAACGCAGGATCAGCGAAGTCAAATGGATTTGTATGCCAGTCGATTTCTTCTTCGTCACTATCCGCATCGTCATCAGCTTCGCCCCTGGCGTCTTGTCTTTCGAGTTGTTCGGATTGCTTGTTGAATTCGTCAATAGAGAAAAAACCGTCATTCAGGCCAAAAGCATCTTCGACATATATCCCTCCATTGCTCTGATCATCTTGGCTTTCGCGTGGCATAGACTCTTCGCCTGACTGTCCATCATCATTTCCTTCAACCTCAGAGCCATAGTTTGAGGGCGAGTGAGAACTCGCCGTCGCCGAATCAGTGCCGTCTAAAATCAAGTCCCCACTGTCACTTTGCGACAGGTCAACAGAGTCAATAGAGTCTGGCAAAGCATCCTGGGAAGCGGGATTGGAGACTAGTACTGGTGAAATTTCCCGTTCGGCAGAGCGTTGTTCTGCGACCTCTAGATAGCAGGTGCGATCACGCTCGATTTCACTGAAAGTGGAATTGAAAATTCGAGCGGCCTGTTGCCACACTTGATCATGAGTAAATCCCTTAACGTATAACTGCCGCAACTGCAGGGCATGGCCCGCGACGCTGTGATCATTACTGGCCCGTTTCCTCTTCCTATCTCTTCGCTGTCGGGCACATTGGGAGCTGCTGATCGAGAGCGCCAGAGGATCCAGATAAAGGGAGACTGAAGCTTGGGCGGAGTTTTCAAGATCTACCGTGGGTTGGAGGAAAGTCCAGGGAGCCTTAAGCGCCGACTCTAGAGGCAAGGCAGCCAGATCGCAACGCGCCGACTCATCGCGAGTCAACTTAGAAGGCTGAGCAATATTGCGTACCATGGTGTGACATTAGCATCACTGATGTCCAGTGTGTGAGTAACTTGATGTTGGAAAATGACCAGAGGATTTTGAGTGGACAGCTGCGCTAGTAGACTGCTTCGTGGAAGAACCTACGCCGGCGGAGAAAAAAGTTAAAAGTGCAAATCGCACGGGCCATCATCTTCCGTGTATGGCTAGGATTATGCATTACAGCAATAATACAAGTTGAATAAAACGCAGTGTAGGTTACCAATCTACTGGTATGGTCAGCAGCGGCAAGCTTCACCCTAGCGCGTAATGATACATCCATTTCACTCTTCTTATGAGTAATTGTGTATTGCTTTGTGATTATACAAGGAGGAAGTTAACTCAGAAGGTTCCACTCACCGCATGCCCTATAATACTCATTATTTTCAAGAGGTACAGTGCGTACAGTGAGGTTCGACGACCTGGGATTTCCATCATTAGACCCCTAGAAAGAATGTTTGGTAGGTAGATAGTCAGTCATGGACAAATTAGTGATCGAGATTTATTCGGTTGAGTCCATCCTTTGATGTGTAGGGGGGGAAAAGTCTGTCATGTTCGTGCCGCCCGAATAACTGGCTCCTAGCTTACTCAATATGCTGAGTATGGTCGTGTACCTACGATTGTCAGTGGAGCATTAATTAGTAATTTCAGATCTGCCGGTTTTATTCGGGTCTTTGGGTATCATTTGCTAATGGCCCTCAGATCTTTTCTGGTCAGGAAGTGGTGCAAGGAGAGATAAAGGCGGTAGATCAATCATAGTGGCGAAAACGACAATCGTAACGCACCGAACCGAGTAATAGAGAATACGTTCAATTTGACATTATACCACCAGGATCCATAATACGCGCAGTAAACCCCAAGTCGGCCCTTCGCTATTTCCAAGCTCTCAGTAGATCCCTTCAGGCATTTATTATTCATACTCAGTAACTATGTCCAGTACCATTTATGTTGAGTGGTATGCGTAGAGATGGCATCTACGGAGTAGGCTCCTACAACTTACTGTTTGTTATACTTGGAGTTGTAACTAGAAAGCCTGGGTAGAAGAAGACGGTAGTACAAGGTTTTCCCTAAATAGAGAACCTCTATAGTGATTCCCTCAGACATTGTTCAACGAAATTAAAAATCCTAACGTTAATGTCAAAGAGGTATGAAGCAGCCATTTAACGATACCTAACTGTATGCAAAGCCTTCATTATTAGCTTCCCCGCATAACGCGTAACATAAGTGGGATCAAAGAGAATATTGGGGTCAATGACAACTGCTTTGTTCGTACTTGGCTTTTCTAGTCCTCCTTATCTTACTTGTAAACCAAGGATTGATCTGAACTTGGCCACAGTAGCTATCAGCACGAATACTTCGATATTTACAGACTCCCTGGTTATATCATAATTAGCCCACAATCGATTGGATATTATTTCTGATGATCTGAAGCAGTGCATCTGGAGGCGATACGTCATTCAAACACCTTGCCACGGCCAAATGAGATAGATGGTAACGTCACCTTGACGAAGAGGCAATGCGCTAAAACGAACTCTTTTCTCCTATATAAGTCATCTCATTAAGTCCCAAACGGTCATGGGTGGGAGACAAGACTCCAGATTCCTTACATTTGTGGTACTGCTGGTTTTATAATTGAAGTTTCCAGCGGCTGTCTATCAATTTATGGTTCTTCGATATGCAAGAAAACACCGAGAAATCATCGCGGGGAAGCCATTCCCAGTTCAAGCCCGGTAAACTCCAGCTTAATCATTATTTCCGGTGGGAAGCTGACTGATACTCCAGGTCACGAGATACCAATTCAACACCAAAAGACGCCAGGCTTGCAGGCTGATCTCGAAGAACCGAAGCCAGCGTCCAGCCATATACCCGCTGAGGATGGGGGTTATCAAAGCTACAAAGCAGCAGGGAAGTTGATCGGTAAACGCGCTATAATCACTGGCGGCGACTCAGGAATTGGACGTGCCATAGCCATATTATTTGCAATGGAAGGAGCGACAAGTCTGATAGTCCATTTGCCAGAAGAGGAAAAAGACGCACAAGAAACAAAAACGAGGGTGCAAGAGGCTGGACAGGAATGTCACAGCATGGCCACCGACCTTCGCGAAAGAGAGAACTGCCGCAAGGTGATTGATACCGCACTAGAAAAACTAGGTGGCATCGACATCCTAGTGAACAATGCCGGGACGCAGAATATGATCGAGGACCTTAAGGATTTAGAAGAGTAAGCTCCAAATGACGCTCTCCATGCTCTGCCAATAAGGATTCGAGTCCCAATGGTTATCCCAACGGCAGTGTCAGAAAAGCCGTCGGATCTCGTGTTCAGTACGGTGCTATTAGCTGACAAGAGCACAATAGGAGCCAGTGGGTAAAGACATTTGATACCAACATCCATCCCCTCTATTACCTTTCCAAATATGCTCTCCCTCACTTGAAGCGCGGCTCAACCATAATCAATTGTGCATCTGTCAATGCTTACGTCGGCCGGCCTGATCTTCTCGACTATACGTCGACAAAGGGAGCCATTGTTGCGTTCACGCGAGGTCTATCTAACCAGCAACTCAAGAATGGCATTCGTGTTAATTGTGTTTGTCCAGGGCCAGGTAAGCTTTGACCGGAGAGACTTGCCATATATAAACGGGATGGACACTAATATAGTTTTATGTAGTCTGGACCCCGCTTATCCCTGCCACTATGACAACCACTGCGATGGAGCAATTCAGCTCCGTACCAATGGGCCGTCCAGGGCAGCCTAGTGAAATAGCGACTTGTTTTGTTTTTCTTGCGAGTGCGGATAGTAGCTATATCTCAGGACAGTGCTTACATCCGAATGGAGGCGTAGTTGTGAACGGGTGACTGATGTATCCATGGGAGAGCAGAAACCTAGCAAAATACACACATGAATCATATTTTATATGAATATAATGTAAGTATAAGAAGTAAATAGACTGTTATTTGCAAGACTGCGCCAGCGAAAAGTATTTCATAAACATTTATTTATGGGGAGGAGAATACTGGTGTGTTAAATCTTGCTGCCACTTGAAAATTATCCAGCGCAGTGCGCGACCTGGAAATCGCGAAACTAACGACGGTACCAATGCGCGTGATCCTGGTGTGTTAAATCTTGCTGCCACTTGTAATTACCCAGCGCAGTGCGCGACCTGGAAATCGCGAAACTAACGACGGTACCACATGCGCGTGATCCTGGTGTGTCTCATCTTCTTTTGAAGTTGGAAGATTCCGTACATCAGTGCCTCGGATGTAGGCGGACCTATGATTTTTGGGGAGTTAGTGAACGATGCCATAATAAGGTGGTCAAGGCAGAACGAACATCCAGGGACATAAACATCCACGGGTACAATTCTGTCGCACCCACGAACGACAGAGTAGCTGTAGTGATAATATCCTCCACCATTCGCACAACTTCCCATACTGATAACCCATCTCGGATCAGGCATTTGGTCATAAACCTGTCTAAGAGCGGGTGCCATCTTATTTGTCAAAGTACCAGCAACGATCATTACATCGGATTGTCGAGGAGAGGCTCTGAAAATGATTCCCAGGCGATCTTGATCGTATCTTGGTGTCGAAAGATGCATCATCTCCACGGCGCAGCAAGCAAGACCAAACGTCATGGGCCAAAGTGAGCTCTGGCGTGCCCAATTGGCAACTTGGTCAAGGGTGGTCCTGTAAAGTGTTATTCAATCGCCCATATATGGCAGAATAGTTGATATACGGACAGCACATATTGCATTGCGCCCTCCTTTTTCTCCTGACTGGGCAATGGTACCTCCTTTCGTACCTTACCAGAAGCAGTGAGATGTTGACCAGGCTGCCCTTGCCGCTCGAGAGCTGTCGCCGATTTAATAGCGGATGTTGAAAGACGAGACATATTCTGCGGTCGGAATAAACGTGATGACGGCTGCGGTCGCACTGCCTGATTGTCAATTGATGGCCAGCGAAAGATCGACTAGAGACCTACCATGCAAAGCGCCTGAGACAGCGCGCCCGGTGAGAGGAAGCATATTGATCAAGACCTCGTGGTGTGCTTGTAAGAATTTCCGGAATTCCTGGATGGATTATGCGAGCAGCAACTCTGAGAGTAGGGTGTAAGTGCACCTTGGAGAATCACAGTGGCGGTTGAAATAACGTCAAGACGAAAGGGTCAATTTGGCTGGTGTTCTGCGCTGATGGTACCAATGGATTACCCATTAGCTGTATTACTGTATTGATACATTTATCAGTGGAAAGATAAAGTCACTAATGCAATGAGAGGTGTAATATAGAGTAATATGTGACCTTAGTCATATCACGTGATGCTATAAGGTTAATTCAGGCTTTGTTCATTGGCCGAGCTTCGCATGCACATGGTCTTTCAAATAGGTAGGTAGACTAGCATCGGCCTCCCGAGGTCAAGTACAGGACTTGATGCCGATCTCATGGGGTGATTTCTCATTGACCAGAGTCAACGTAGTTCATTCTTCAAGCCAACTCTCACCGTTCAAGGCCATCTTAGTGATCAGGCTGATAGCGAGGAGCCAAGAGCTAATCCGGCCTCATCACCTAACTTAGGTATGCTTATATCTTTATCGATATGATCCGGCCTGGTACTAAGGTAGGGGCCTGTTTCGCCATGCACTTATAGACAGCTGGAGACGCCAATACCCACTTCGTCTGAGTCCCCGTCAAATTTGAAGGTCTAAGAAATCGATCTATACAAGAACGCTTGAGATGCAAAAGTGAGAAGTGATTACTATGATGCCTAAAATCGCCTGTATCGGTGTAATCGGGAAAGCCGTATGTATGCCATTGCACCTGGAGCAGCTCTATCACTAATGCTGCCTAGGACAATCCCATACATATAACATTATTTCCTCCATATCGCAACTCGGCTATCGAGTTCTCCATTCTAGTGAACTCTTGCTTGGATATCATTGAAATAAGGCGCAGACAAACGTCCATTGACCAGGACCTCGGCCTTTTGCACGCTATAGATGAAAGCTTGGCGGCGTACGGATGGCTCACCACGACAGGAGTGAAGCTGCTAGTTATAGTTGATCTAGTTGGCCAAACAATTAGTCCAGAGGGGTTCGGGGCATCATCTAGGACTATTCTCAAGGGGCCTGACCTTAGGCCGGTATGTTATGCATTAGTGGCGCGATCACTCAGCCAGCAATTGATATACCACTGACGATCCACTGTTTATAGGTCTTCCGTTCTCTGCAGGACGCTTATGTTCAACTATTGCAGAATCCATTCTATACCCCGAGTGAGCGCTCTGATACCGTCAAGCGTCCTGCCCGAGTATCTAGCTTTCCTCAAGTCGCAGACAAAAGATTCGTCAAGGAGATTTTACGAATTGGTGAGTCATGGGCACCACATTAGAAAGGTTCCGCTAGCTCCAGGAGATGGTGATGGTGATTTCGGAGTGAGTAGTCTGGTTCAACGGATTTTTGATCTCAGATAGTGCCGCTGAGTCGTGGTCAGAGCAAAGGCGGGTAAAGTTCCTTAGCACCTGTGCTACTGGATTGTCCATTTGGGATATTCTCGAACACCAAATGCCTCGCTCTCACCACGCCCAGATCAATCTTATCAATTGTTAGTTTTCCAATGGAGGGAAAGGGAGTGCCACTGCGCATGGCTCAAGGTTAAGTTCGGATCCCACAGGAACATATCTACGCTATGACAATTGTAAGAAATTGGTATTAGGCATCGGTACCCGATCTTTCTAAATCACCTAGAATATCCTCCAGCTCCCGAGGATCGCATATGGACCAGACACCGCCACCCTTGACCATGATCTTGCCAACTTCCTTGCCCACTAAATTTCTGCCAACTTTCCCTGGCCCTATTCCAATCCAACGTGCCACACCGTAATCCTGATCTAGATATCGAATGCTATCCCACCACCTAACAGTTTCAACGCATTGCCGAGAGAGCAGAGCCTTCAACTCCTCTCTTGAACTAATTGGCAGACCTGAAACATTTGATACGAATTGCATATGTGTGGGAAATCTGACGTTAATATTCTCCAGGGCATGCCTCATGTAGTCAGCAGCTGGTGCCATAATAGGATTGTGGAACGGACTCTCGCATTTTAATTTCACCGCGCGAGGATCGTGGCCCCCAAATTGACGGAGCTGGACTATCAGAGTCCTGATTCTTGCAATACTGCCGCTAAGTACGATTTGGTTATTGGAATTTATATTTGCAATCATGACATCCTGGAACACTGAAGCCCCATGATCAATGTCGTCTTTCAATGCTGGCTTCGCGAGCCCAAGAAAGTCATGAATGGCTTCCAGCAATTCCGGGAAATGATCAGGCTCGCAGACAAGAGCTACCATGCCATATTCATCTCCCGTTGTTTCGAAGGCCTTTCTCGTGCATTGGGACATGATCTCGGCACGTCGTCTAATCAATCTTAGCGCATCCCCGAAATCAAGGTAATCCCCGGCAACCAGAGCAGTGAACTCGCCCAAGCTGTGGCCGAGGGTAACGTCTACTAGCGTATCTGCATTGAAGCCGAACTCGTGTTCTAGTATCCGGAGTATCAACACCGATGTAGCCATGATCGCAGGTTGCGAGTTTTCGGTCTTATTGAGCTCCGAGTTGGGGCCCTGGGATATGATCTGAGACAATGGGAAACCCAGGGTGGAGTCCACCTCGCTCATGACTTTGTTGGATATTTTGGGAAACATCTCAAGCCATGGACCTGCCATTCCTATGCGCTGAACCCCATGGCCTGTGAGCAGAAGCGGTTAGAAGCTGAGGTGAAGTTAAGAGCGAGGGCACCCAAACCGGGGAAGAAAAGAGCCGTGCGTAGTGGTGTTTTGGCCGGAGATATAACGGAGCATCGACTTCGGGGATATCTGTGGGGCTGCAGATAGTGGTGGCCATGGCACCCTCTGTGTGGCCTCGGTATCGAAAGGGAGGTGGGCATATTTCTTAGTAACTCGTGAATCTAGCAGCCCGTGATGCTTGTGCAGTTGCATGTCGCGGTAGATAAATGGGCATCGTGACCTGTTGCCAGGAGGCTAGGTGAAGTTCTTCTTGCTGTGGAGTGCAGAACGGCTGATACAAATAGTGATAAATAAAGGAGTAAATGATACTATCACGTGATACGAGGGCCTGACCTGCGGGTTTCTCCCTGGGCTAAGGCGTTGCAACGCGCCTTTAGCGGGCCCAGCAGGGCCTGTACTTGCAGCTATTTAAGCATCTTTTTAAGCACCTTTAGAAGTGTTTTTAAGCATATTTTTAAAGTATTTATTTTAATACTTTCTATATATCAATTTAGATCTACAGCCTAAATCTGCAGCTGAGGGAAGGGCCTTGCTATCCCCCCCAGACCTTCCTCCCAGCTATCCGGCGTAGCGTATTCTAAAAGTCATATAACTACTACTTAAAAGAACTAATCGAAATACTTATTTTATACAAAAACCCAGCTAATCAGTATTTGTTACCCTTGCTCAGGCCCTTATAGAGTTGCAAAGCGCTAGCTTTGCAAATAATGCTACAATCCGGACAAGGGCAAACAACGCGGACTAGCACACCTGATATTGATAACTTAAGATTTCTGTTGCGCAGACCGCACATCGGACTGCACACCACGGGATATCGTGTGCCCATTTCTGATTAGAGTGATTTGCATTGTAGTAATTCAGCTAGAACTATAGCTACAGATCATTGTGAGCAGGGACAGGAGAAACAATGCGCCTGCTTTGTCTTAACAGATGTACATCCATCCTTAAAAAGCAAAGTACAGAGTATATTTTTCGTAATTGGGAATGAATATCGGCTCATTCAAAATTAAGGAAGCCTATCATTATCATGTCTTTAGGATTAGCTGCCTATGTATGTCTTCTGATACTCGGTAAGGTGCCTTGAAAATTGAGAGTGTATCCGTAACTGTAT